AAAGTCTTCTTAACGTTTTACAAATTCTACACGTCGACAAGGTAGCGAAAACAATATATAAGTCTCTTCCAATAATACTCATCGCTGAGGATGCTTATTTTCCGATAGTTCTGATTGTCGATTGATATTCTGCACGTTTGCAATTGATGACGATTTAGCGACACTGCCGATGGTGAATGGAATGCATAATGTATATAATGGTGTTGCCGGAGACGTGTGTAGTTACAATGTTAATATTAAAACATAAGAATGCATATCTTATTATCTACAAGGTGTTACAAAAGCGTCAGACGCGGAACAACTAGAGTTTCCAAAGCGAGGAATTTTCGACGATACACTTTGTGTAGCCATGCCGATAAAGTATAAAGAGTAAATCGTTAATTATTAATATAAAGATCGAACACTTAGAAAAAAATCCTTCGATCCGGCCGGATTCGAACCGACGTCTTCTAGCAAACCGTGTCAAACGCTGTGCCAACTAAGCCACGGAACGAACCAGCGGACCTCACAAATTCTTCTATGTGCTTGTAGTCGGTTCTTTGTATTTGATTTTCAATGACAGTTACAGGGTAGGTAACTTTACAGCTACCAGCCCTGGCCAGAGACGTCGCTATTATCTGTAATTAAATTCTTATTTTGAATAATTCATAATTTGAGCAAATCTTTTTTTAGAATATTTCGCTTATTTATAGCTATAAAGTTATCTAGTGTCACGATTTTTTAATGCACGAGATAAACGAGTAAAATTTAAAAAAGTTGATAGTATCTAAAAGCCACTGAAATAGAAATGATGAACAATAATCTTTTCCCATATTTTATACTGAAACTCACCAACACTACTCACTGCGAAGTGTGGTGTTAAGAATTTTTTACGCTAATGCTCTATCGGCTATGTCAGATATTATGAACTAGTGATCGGAATTGAAGGAGTTCATTTACCTAAAGTATGAACGTTTTCTTAGTATGGACAAGTATGTCCATACTAAGAAAACGGATGGAATGGATAACAAAATGAGTACATTTAATAATTAAATAAAAATAAGAAATATAATACGCATGGATAACAAAATGAGTACATTTTGTTATCCATGCGTATAAAATTTCTTATTTTTACTGTTTTTTTTCTAAACATGCCAAAAAATTGTCTCGTGTTAATTTTTAATGATTAAAGTATTTTATATAGGTACGTAAGTACCTATAGAAACGTAACTACAACATTATTTTTTTAGACAAATACTTAATACGAAATAATAATTTGTTGCCAGCAATGTACTCAGATTTCAATAAATAATACGTATTTGCAAATATAATCAGTTCCGAGAAGTCCCGGGATTTGTAGAAAGAAAAATACACAGTATTCTTTAGTTGCGTCAAATTAAGGTTCATTTTATATTGAGGCGGAATGGAAACGAATTTTTGTAAGGATATTGTACATAGCATAACGAACTTTATGGCCAATTGTGTAACGTACAAACTAGATACGAGCCAAAATTTTCCACGGAATGCGCGAGTATTCTCGAGCATGCGCGAGAATTCCGCAGAATAGTTTGGCTCGTGTCTAGTTTGTACCTTACACAATTGACCATAAAGTTAATTATGCTATGTACAATATCGTTACCAAAAGTCTCTTCCATTCCGTTCAGCCGCTGTATAAATAGAGTCAAACTCCCTCGATTACGATGACCGACTATGATTAAGGCTGATCGGAGAAGTAAGGGGCGGTAGCGATTTACTTCGCTCTGTGTTACAATTATTGTAGATCACTTTTTGGTATTGCATGTTTGAACTCTTGCAAGGTGCAGTTTTTAATAATGAATTTCGACAAATTGTACGGCCTACTGTGTAAAAATGTCACAATGTCTAAAAAGTACATATTTGGGTTTTTCTCAGGAAATGAATTGTTTCATTTAGAACATTTAAAGATTACCTATTTGCTATCTATTAGCAGTTGAAATATACCTAAATAGTCTACCAGTACTTACGGATATGTATGCCATGCTTTTTGAGTTCGTGCTTTAACAAATTAGCGCCTTGAGACAAATAAAGCTATCAGAATATTTACAGTACCGAATCTTTATTCGACCCGTTCAACAAACTACGGGAAATAAATGGGATATTAAGCTTAAAAATTGCCTAAGAGAGAAGTTTGTATCGTACCTCACTACTCAACACAAGAAGGGTTCATACGTAACCATAGCAGATATTTATTTTATGTTCATTTTTTAATTTTCGTCAGACGGGGCATGAAAAACAAATAAGGGATTGAGATTATAAATGTAAAGCTCCGTTATGATAATAATATTTTAATGATATTATGGATACAATATATTTAATAAATTCTTAAAAAAGACTAAGTACATTTGCTTGTAATGGCTAGAAATTACATTATAATTTTCTTGAAGTGTAGGTAAATACGTATAAATATTTGTAACAATAGATTATTGTTTATGTTTGCAGAAATCAAAAATCCTCTGACATTTCTTTCTTAAAGGCATATTGATTTCCATTGAGCAAAGACCGAAATAGAATACCAAAGTATAAGAATTTATATATCCATATAAATATATTTTGCAGTTCAAATATTATTGCCTACACTGCTCTACCGCGCACCGGACTCAAGGGCGCGCAGCTGATCGCTAAAGGCTTATTAATTCAATCCGTATAATAATTTAAGTAGCGGGATTAAGGGCGACCAGGTGGGCACGCACCTCGGCTCAGTATGCTTGGAGTAAGTTTTACGTGATATATTTATTTACTATTTGAAAACGCTAATTGTGTGAACTTATAACAGTATACGTTTTAATGGCGCCACTGCACATTTTTGTCACGCTAAGCGATGGGCTCTTCGTTCTCGCCGGCTAGGACGGTAATTTGTGGAGTATGTTGTGGGCCTGTAATATGGCGAGAGTGATAGAGTCATTAAGGTCGTTGAGGACTTCGCTGGGACAACGGTGCCGACGAGTGTGGAAGGGATGGTAGGTATAGTTGGCAGAGTATTCACATAAAAATCCATACAGGTCTATACAAAGTTCCATTTAGGTATATGAAGGAACAACTTTCAGGATCGTCTATGTCGGCTACCGGACGGTGATTTAATAATACTGTGGCTTCTGGCAATATTTTATAATATCGACTGTGAACTGGCAACCGGTACTATCTCAATTTTCTAAAGATTTCACTTTTTAATACCATTTTATACTATTTCATACTCCGCAGCGTTGCAAGAAATTCCATCTCAGATACATTTAATTTTGACGCCAGACTTTATTCAACTTCTATTAACTTCTAACCAGATGCTATATAAACGACGCAAACAATTATTTTCTTCATCCCGTAAAATTGTCAAAATTTAAAGAGTACCGATTGCCAGTTCACAGTCGATATAATATAGGTACTATAGGTATAGGACTCTGAATCGAGAGATGCAAACATGAATTGCCCAAGACTTAATAGATTTACAAAGTGACCTTGAATAAAACACAAACTTGACTATCATTTTTAAACAAAATGTCTTTATTTTTCATCAATTTCGAAGTCAGTTTCCGGAAACTTGTAGCTTGGGCGTAGATTTTTTAATTGCATATCGCATAACTGTAGATATCAATGTAGTAACATAAATTCCGAAAATTACTACATGGTCTTTTTACATGGCTAAACCAAGCTGGGGGAATCCGAGAAGAGCCTCCCAGCAACGACGTACTTTCTGTATCTCTGTACGCCTAGCACTCCCTGTAAGACCAGCACGACAAGGCGCGGCTTGCGCGAGAGCGACAAAAAGCGCGAGATCTTTACGCGAGAATCCTATGTCGCTCTCGTGCTAGTCGCGCCCTAGCGTCCTAGCCTTACTGGGCAACAATGGGCGCATACCCTTACGCGGATTGGCAAATCCTTCCACCACGATGCCAATACAAACGAATGCCATAGATACGACAAAAAGAAGACACCAAGGCATCTGGTATGTTCTTGCTGGGATCAGCTTTACGATAATTCCAATTCCAACTGATAAACTTCGATTACATTTATTAAACCGTATCGATGTTAGATTTTTTCAACAACCTAACAGTAACTAATGTTTTCTAATAGAAGCGATTTTTTTTATACACGAAATAACATATTATCATTTTCCTGAAGAGCTCTCACTTTCCTGAATGCATAGACCCAGCGAAGTGATAGTTAGGTTTATGTTTCTTTTTTCGAAAATACAATAGTTAATAAGAAATTTAATGTCCCCCATTAATCCATTTTAGTTGATTCAATGACGTCAATTAATGTTATCATTAACATAATTATGCAGTGGTGTTCATGTAAATAAGTACCCAGGCAAAAGTGCTGTCTGACCTGGACGCGACAGCTGGTAATGAAACCTCGGTCACGATTAAATTATAAATGATTTGATTATTTAAAGTCATGCAGATGACAGTGATACAGGATTCTCGTTACCTCTAATGATATTTTAGTTTAAGGAAAGTTGCACTCAACTGGTGGTGTTTTTGGCTTGTTAAGCGTTATAATTTCGGCTCACGTCTTGTGCTACTGTAAAGTCACCCACCACGGAAGTGACAATTTTCACATTTCAAAGTCTGTTTTGTCAATTAAATAAATTCTAAAAGAAGAAAGAAGATGACTATTAGTACCCATGTTGCTGCTACCACTTTACAAATTATTTTGTTCCTTCTCCGATCCCCAAATATATATAAAATTGATCAAATATAAAATTTACGATTATATTTAAATTAAACTGACCTTAAATAAATTCGGTTGTGTTGTTTCATTTTTCTTGTCTTGTTTAAAGCCTTCCAAGTTTAGCACACAACTATTTAGGCATTTTATAATTTTATTTAGGTTGTAGATTAATACTTGAAATTCTCGATGCTGATTTTGAAGCATTCACATATTTTATTAATTTTAATGGATTTTGCATACGACGGAATGCATTTGACGTTACTTGTCATATGTCCCTTAATTACAATTTGACATCAGATGCGCACCGAATGCTCCACGTCGGAGTTTTTCCAAAATTTTCTATATTTCCTGAGTTTTCATGCAAATTTTGATATAACTCTCAAAATGGATTATCAAAGTCGTCAGTTGGCTGGAGATTTCTTCCTGCGAGAACCAGTTGATGCCCGAATAAGGTTAGTTTAATACACATTTTAACTTTCTGTATTTATTTCAAGTTTCCTCATGTAAGTTGGCTAATAAAAAATGGTTTTGATTGCAGAAAGCCTAAAAATGAGCCAGAAGAAGAGCAACACCCGAAACTCAAAGTGGAAATGCAGACTATTCGTTTGAATTCTGACTCTCAAAAATTAGTTTTGGACACCTTGAAGTTTATACATGGACCCGATTTTAAACTTGGAAGCGCCAGCGTTTACAAGGTAAATGCCAGAATTATACTTTGCAACCTGTTTATTTTTACGGAATATTTGTTAATGTTATAATTAATTTTATAGTTATGATAAATTTATTGCACAATAATTATGTAATAATGTACGAGTATTAAATAAAGTCCGATAAGTCACATTTTGACTTGTTCTGCTTCTTAATGCCAAACCATAGTTTCTGAAGTTTTCTATGAATAATTTATTCAACTTGAACAGCAACCGCTAAATGTTCTTTAAAAATATGTTTCAAATGCAAAAAAAATCTGAACACAATGCAGCAAATCCATTCAATGGGACTAAACAAATTGGAATCTATATAATTTAGAAAATTATACAGCTCCTTTTGATTGATTAGAATTCCATCTTCCTAGCAGTCCTTGATGTAACAAACTATTATTGGTACACAGATTGTACTATTTCGTCTATTTCTTCTTGAGCTTGAGGGAGTGGATCACCTGTATTTAATTCCTGTTCCTGTAGTTACTCTGTTCTACTTTAATCGCTTAATTTTAAAAAAAGTAGTTTGTCCAGGGAAGTACTGCCACCTTACCTATTTCTGCCACCAAGCAGTAATGTTCACATTACTGCACGGCAAGGGTGCTGGTGAAATTACAGGCACATGGGACTTGTCAACTTATGTCTCAGGGTGTTGGGCGCAGTGGCATTGCCTCTCAGATTTTTATGATTTAAAGGTCTGAGTGACACTGCAACTGTTAGGGACAGGCGTGATGCTTACCATCAGGCACATCACTTAGTATTATAAGAAAAAAAATGTACATTGACTCCAGGACCAGGTTTCAAAAAGTAGGAATTAGATACTATTTTAGCAATCACATGTATTCTGTTTCCAGGATAAAGGCACGAACCTCAGTAACCGCTACTGGATGGAGCGCGGGAACCTAGTTGTGCAGGGAGGATGCGACTATTCTCTCAACACTAAACCAGACATTGAGACTTCAGAAGCCCGACTGAGAGCTTTTGCTTTGACTAAGCTGGAGAAGTAAGCTGTTCAGCTGTACTATTTTTTCAATTACCTAGATATTTTACACTTTGTTTCAATCCATTTTGAACAGAAAGTAAACAAACAAGTCACTGACCCGACCATGGATGGTTTAATGATTGCCAATTGTAGTGCCAACTACAAATCAATTAATTAATTGAATAAATTGATTTGTTCAATTAAGTCATACTAGCGATTTTCCTTACATAATCTATGTAAGCATATTTAAAATTTCCAAAATCTTCATTTTAAATCCTCCTTGAAATCCTTACACTAAGATACTTGGTCTTTTCTTGGTCTACTTGGATCGAAATATTCAAACCTTTGTAACTATAGTGAAAAAAATAGGGTGGTTTGTATTAATATTAGACATAACTGGTTAATGACTGTACCACCTCAGTCAACCGTGACCATGGGACCTGTAAAAGGTTCAAATCGTTGGTTCGTTTGAAAAAATACATATACGTAATTTAAATCCAAATAAATAGTTTTATTTCCTACGTGTAACAATCACGAAATCCTGAGAACTCGATATGAAATATTCAATTTACTAATTGATTACAAAAACTTTAATAGAATGAACCTAATGTATTTTTTTCTTACAGCACCATGCAACCATAGACAAGTCATAGTTGTATAGTTGAACAATAACATCACTTTTGGACTACCATTTTTCAATAAATAATGTTGGAAAAAGTAATGAGATATCAAGTCGAAATCTTAGAAATATATGTGGGAGTGTTATTTATTTGATTTATTGAGTAATTTCTTTAGAATTTTAACTGAACAGTTTTGTTTACTTTTTGTTCAAAATGGATTGGAACAGACTTTAGTTGTAAGTAGCTGCGGGGTTGAATTAGGTGGGTCACAACACTTGTTATGTTCAATTGGAAAATTCTTCCTCTATATTTACACATACCATTTTTTTACTATCTGTGATAAATCTGTACACTTCATACTTTATAGTAGTTTGATTATAGGAAGTTATGGTTTTTATATTTCAGATACAACTTCCACAAAGCACATTGTGCAGAAGCATTGAATCTGGCAGGAGAGAGTGTAGATAAGGCATTAGAAGTCCTTTTCTACAAGTATTTTAAAGTGGATCCTCAAGAGAAACCGACTAACGTACCATCAATGACCGAACTTGAAGAAATGAGATCAGATGAAAGGGCAGTCTTAGAATCAATCTACGATACAAATTTCAAAGTAAAAGATGCACACATTTGGAGTATTAGCCTTAACCTAGATTACATCACAAAATTGTACAAAGAAAAGGAAATACAGAAACCTAAAAAGAAAGACAACATAAACTACAATAACAATTTCAAAACGAAAAAGAAAGAGGTCTGTAAATTATTTTTGAAAGGACCATGTAGATTTGGAGCTAAATGTAAATTTTTGCATGAGACAAATGAACCTTGTAATACTGAAACAAGAACAGTGACTGATGACAGTCATGAAGTGACTTATGAGTTAGAAATACGGTTTCCAGAAGATACAGTGTATCCCTATCAACCTCCTTTATTATATTTCAAAACTGTAACTCGAACAAATTTAGTACCAGAGCTGGCATGTTTACGGATAACAGCTCGTCTTTTAGAAGAAGCAAAAATCTTAGCACAAGATGGTATACCAAGCATATATTCTTTAGTTGAATTGTTAAATAATGAAGAAGATATAATTAATTATATACAGTTTGATACAAGTACTTTTCCTGAGCCCACAGATGCCTTATGTCCCCAATTAATAGAAGATTCTAGTGTAAGTAAAAAGAAACCATCTCATTACAAAAAGGGTCAATTAAAAGATCATAGATCGAATGTTAATTTTGAAAATGTATTAAAAGAGAACAAAGAGATAGTTGATAGTTGGTTGGCGACAAAAAGTAACAATAAGTATAGTAAAATGATGCCAATTAGAAGAAAATTACCCGCTTGGCAGAAACGGAAAGAAATTCTGGATACTATTAAAAAATCTCAGGTATGTTGACTGTCAATATGTAAAATTCTGTACTGTACTTTACTAAATATGTTCATATTTTTTTAAATGTTGTCAAAGTGATTTTACTATGCTATAGCTTTCAAGTTCTAGTTTTCGATTATATTTATGCAATTGTGTTACATGTGTATATGAACTTCTTGTTAATTAGTCACTGAATATTTTTAAATGTTCCTGTAGGTAGTTGTAATAAGTGGTGAAACCGGATGTGGTAAAAGTACACAAGTACCACAATACATACTTGATGAATGGCTGGACAACTTCAGCAAAGATGGGCAACTTCAGCATGTAGAAATAATTTGCACGCAGCCTAGAAGGATATCAGCTATTGGTGTCGCTGATAGAGTTGCTGAAGAGCGAGTCGAAAAGACAGGGCAGGTTGTTGGTTATCAGGTACGTTAACTTTTTAAGTTTAAATATTCTTTCTTTTCTTGTAAGTAATGAGACTAAGAACTTCAGTGTGATGATGTCTTCCTGAAGTTAACAATGTGCCAGTCTCAATGCTTCGTGGAAATAAATGTTTAGGCTATATGAATATTTTAATATTGATTGTATTGAATACCATGAGTAGTAATACATTAATGATATTCAATAAAATCAATATTCATAAAAAATGATATTAATATATTTGATTAATCGTTTTCAGTTCCTTTTGTTTTTTATATTATTATTATAACATCTAGTGACGGGACGAACAAGTCGTGCGCCTGATGGTAAGCTTCACGCCTGTCCTTAACAGTTACAGTGCCACTCAGAGCTTTAAATTGCAAATATCGGAGGGGCACTACCACTGAGCCCGTCACTCTGAGACAAGTTGACAAATCCCATGTGCCTGTAATTTCATCAAAAAATATTTTCTTTAGATACTAGACATTTAATTTTTTTCTGAGAACACGCTTGTTTATACTATGATTTTGTATTTCTCCAGATTCGCTTAGAAAGCAAAGTATCGTCAAAAACACGCCTAACCTTCTGCACCACAGGAATATTACTACGAAGATTGGAATACGACCCGCAGTTGAAATCTGTCACTCATATATTAGTGGATGAAGTTCATGAACGGTCAGAGGAGAGTGATTTCTTATTGCTCATTTTGAGGGACCTTATTAAAGTCAGAAAGGACTTGACAGTCATACTTATGAGTGCGACCTTGAATGCTGATTTATTTTCGAGTTACTTTGAAAAGATTCCTATTTTAGAGATTCCAGGTAAATTTGGCTGCTTCTTTTTTTTATTGATGGCTTGTTCTTATTGTTACACGACTGGTTAGTAATATTTTTGTGTTTTTTTCAGGAAGAACTTTTCCAGTTGAACAGTTTTTCCTAGAAGACATTATGGAACTTACAAATTACGTGCTAGAAGAAAATGGTCCGTATGCGCGAAAAATTAAAAAAGGTGATTTGTATGTATTTACTATTAATACAGAGCTTCATCCTTAAAGAGTGCTTCAAAGAAAATAAGTATGAAATCCAAACTGTATTTAATCAACCCTAAAACACTTGTTATCACGCAACGTGTATCTTGCACGTCGCCTGGTATCATTATTTATTCTGTTTAATTTACTCTTTAATAATTTCAATTTCATTATAATTTTCTAGGTGACAAGGATAAAAAATTTGACCTAGAAACAGAGCTAGAAACGTGTGACGTCCGATCAGAAGCCAATGAGCCGCCTAAGGCCTCCATTCGCGACGAAAACCTCACTGTGGGACAGATGCTCGCTAGGTATCCAAAGTGTAGCAAGGTCACTTGTAAGAATATGTACCTTATGGATACGGAAAAGGTTCGTACTAAAATTATAGATGTTAAGAAATTTCCGTACATGATAAACCATTATTTACTGTATGTTATCAAAATTGGTGCAAAGAATCCAGGGTCGGCAGACTAAAGCCAATAAGACAAAAATGTTTCATTTTTTTTTAATATACCGACATGAAGACATGTAAGTAAAAAGAAGAATATACCAACAAGCAAAGTTTGTTGTTACTTGTTATTAATAATGTTTTATGTTTGTAAGGGGTGCTGGTGAAATTACAGGCACATGGGACTTTTTATTATTTACTTTATGGCTGCCACCATGCTTGTGCCAGTTTTCTCAGTTTTATAAGAATATTATAAAAATTATGGCGATCACCGCCAGTGTCAGCTTAGAGTTTTCCACGTGGGACTTGTCAACTTATGTGTCAGGTTGACCGGCGTAGTGGCAGTGTCTCTCAGATCTTTGCGATTTAAAGCTCTATTACTATTGACTGGCGTGTCGCTTAACATCAGGCACACTATTTATTCGTGCTAGGCATCATAAAAAAGGTCGAGAAACGTGAGGAGAATTATAAAGTTAAAAGACACCACTAGAATTAAAGTTGAAACTAGGACATGCAAAAACCGATTTTTTCGGTTACCCAGTTATTCGGGTTTTTCGGATATTTTTCCATTGTCGTCCAAATAATTATTCAAAAGTTTAAAATACAAAACTTAAAATACATCAAATCAGTGTTTTATAGATTGTTTTCATTATTTACAGAATTCATAGCAATGAGATCAATTAACTTCTCGAATTATTGTAAAAAAA